CATGATCCAGACATGCTAGGGTGACGAAATTTAGATGGTAGATAGCTCTTGTGCTGGGGATGAAGTGACACGAGTATGAGCCCCCTAGTTGCTTGCTCTAGAACTGCAGGGGGGTTTAAGGACAAATGTTTAAAAGAGGATAACGCAAGAACCGATTGATGGATCATCGTGATTTTTGGTATGTAGGTAGCTTAAGTGATGCTTGACATAATGATATTACAATTATGCAAATATTGATGTAATTTGCATAATTAATGAGGAAATTCTATAAATCAGCTGCATTCCATGATAGGAAGTTCAAGCTTGTAACATATGTTATTAAGAACGAAACACAGGCAAATATCGATTATGCAAATGAAGACTTAATTTGCATAATTAATGAGAAAATGTTATAATTGCATAGTGGTAACTGCCTGGAATTTCATACTTGGGGTGTTTGAAAGTTAAGTGAAGGTGAACATAATTAAACATAACTTATTCAAATAAGGACCACATTTGCATAATTTATGAGAAAATGGCATTCTTTGTTAAGATAAGACTGTCTTTTGGTGGAGAATATGATCAACAGACTGATATAATTCATGCAATTGAGGATCCTATTTGCATTATCAGGGTGATTAGTATATTTCTTATTCATAAAGGCTAACATCATTTGGCGAAGGTATGAGATCGTGGAACTCTAGTTAGTTTTATAACATGTTATAGAAGAATTATATTATATTTTTCGTAATTTCGTGATTTGCGGAGAAAAAGACAGATCTCAAAAATTCTATAGCTAAGTTAACAAGTAATGTGCGCTTATATGGAGATTCATCTCAAGCAGTATAGAATCATTCTTTTAAAGTAAAAAAGGAACAAAGAGAGATGGGAAGTCAATGCCTTATCATACTCACAGTGCCGGCGAAGCTTGCTCCCAAGGTGATGATGTGATGTACTATCAGTTGCAAATAGTTTGTCATTGTGGGGGTTCTGATGAATGTGTGAGCCAGCGTATCTAGACGTGGAGTCGTAGGTTAACGTTATAGAGTTTACAAGCTTCAAGTGATATATTTTCAACTAAGCGTCTTCAGCATGTGCGGAATGTGGCGTTATCTATTAGATGACGTTTTAATTACTACTACTCACGGACGAAATGATGTATGAAATATACTATTGGTGAAAGAAATCGTCCCTTAATTTGTGTGCTCGTTATTTCTTCTCATCTTTCATGCGACGAAAATCTAAAACTGACAAACGTAGCAGGGCAGGATGCTCTCATATTGGAGAAGTGATATACAATAAACAATGGGAACGTTAAACAAAACTGACCTGTTAGTGTGTGGCCCAGCATGAAGGCACAGTTGAAGCTTACAGCTGGAACGTCATGCCTCCGGGAAAAACAATATTAGCAATCTGTCAAAACTATAGCCTCTTGAAGGTTTTGAAATGTCAATTCAAATAAATTTTTAGCCTACATATTTGCAGAGAAAAAGTACAACAGAATGATTCCTTTCTTACTGATTTAAGGTCAACTGAGCAGCGAATGCAAATTTGGTAGCGTTAACATTGACAACACCTAGCGAAGTTCAGTGGTACTGTAGACCCACCTAAGATGTCTGGGATCCAGTTGTTCTGACAGATGCGTCAACACTGCCGTGGAACCCACAATGGCTGACGACATTATGCTCATGGTCCTGGTATTTGTCGGAAGTAGATACACATATGAAAATATTTTCTAGTTAGGCCTATAAAGATTGATATCATTTAAAGTAAATGATCGATATGAAATTGAAATATCTATTGAAAAAAGTTGTACCCACAGCTTTCTCAGCCACTGCTGTTTGGAGAGAGACAAGCGGGAAAACCTTTCACGGAAAAACAGCTGCAGCAGCCAGGGGCCGACCAGCTTGTAAAAGGGTAGAAACAGAAAACGTTTGTATGATATATTATTCAAAATACGTGTTATTGGTCATTAGTTTATGACAGTCAACATTTTCATGCAAGTGTATCAGATCAGCTTTACCCCGCACAGGTTGACGTGTCTGATCTGTATCGTTGTGATAAACCGTTAGTAGGATAGCTCTAACTCTAATAAGTAATCTGAAAAGATAAACAACGGACAAATGAGCAACATATCGAGCAGATACCTACCTGCACCACGAGTGTATTACAAATCACGGACAGTCCAACTGTGGCGAGGAGAAGGTCCTGTGTGCTGGAGCTTAGCATGTCGGTGTTCGTCCTTGATTTTAACCTAGTATGAAAACAGTGATTCTGCTTGTTCACCTTTTTAGTTACGCATTGGGTCCCTGATTTCAACATTTACAAAAACCCCTTATTATTTCAGCTACATTTGTCACTCTTTAGATTATCGAGATTGACATAGATTGATTTTTTTGCATTTAGCAATAGTTTAAGTGAAAGTACAAAAATATTAATCTGTTTTGTTTACAGGAAACTACATGTACGCAGTCAGCTGCATATCACGATTGATTCTGTCACGTACACTCTTCTAAAGTCTTATTTCAAAAGTCTTATTTCACTATCAATTGCAGTGATACATATTTGATTTAAAAAAGACAATGAGTGGTAATAAAGGGTAAAGTTGTTAACTTTGGGATTATTTCATTTTTCAGCGTTTGGGGCATTAGGTTCTCAAACTTTGTATAAATGACTAAAATTGTCAACTTCAGTGCCTTTTTGAGATATTTTGGAGACATTAGTAGCTTTGTTACAAATTATTGTTCTTTCGTCCGTGTACGTCATTGCAAAATGTACTTTTCTCTATCAAAGTGCAATGCCGTCTTATTGATTTGTAACACCCGGTACGTTGTTTACCATGCGTCTGGCACTGCGTTATCTTCAGACAACAATATGCCTGACTAGTTCTGCTGACACCGCCGTCGTTTCACTCATTAACCCAGTCCAACCGGTCCAGTGACCCAAAATAACCGGAAAGGGTTAAGGTTCACTAGAATTTACGAGTAGAGTACCTGTTCACAGAAAGTCCCACCTGATCTGAAATACCCCAAACCCTCTGTATCACGTTGCTTACGTTGTATCTAAATCCCCATACAATTAATAGGCAAATTATTGATAAAAGTTGAAAATAGGTTATCTCATACCAATGCGTTATCCTGAGTTAACCCAAATGCGGAGGTAACGTTTAATTATTCGTAAAACTGCCATACGTACAATATGAAACTAACAAAGTGCGAGACGGCTTCTTACCTCTGTGCAGGTGTGGAAAGTAACTGGTTATAGGTTACAATTCCAATGGCTGCGGCCCACTTCGTGTGGATGGAACATCTGACTAGTAGCTCATACCTTGAACAGGTTACCCAAAATAAACAATGGCCATGTAAAGGTAAGTGTTGTTCTATCAGTTATCGCTAGGTGGCACAGCTCAAGGTTCAATCGCCTTCATACTATAGTTCACAAGGCATTAAATGAATGAAGTTTGCATGGTCTGTGATTTTTTTAATCATGTAAAACTTCTGCTTAGCTATGGATATCCTTACATCTTATTTATGTAGGTACGTGTACTAAGTTAGAAATGTGACAGGATTGGGTAGCCACAAAAATGTCCGCTTGGAGAAATCATTCTTTGTCTGAGTCGGACAGTGATTACTGTCTCATGATGGAACGGTTATACCTCAAAGCATGAATATCAGAGGCACTGTTGAAGCCCTGTCGTAAGGCCCCGAACCTAGTCTATAGTATAGGAAGTCTTTATTTTTCACAACTGCTAATATATACAGTGTGCCCAGTTCTATCCACTGTAATATAACAACTGCTAAATTAAATACAGTGTACATTGCTCTATCCGCTTTAACCCTTAATTCGTCTCCCTGGGAGAGAGTCTCTATGGAATGTTCAACCATCCGAATGTCGCCGACTAGAAGGCTGCAACCTCGGCGTGTTGACCTTGACTTTGTACGGAGCAGTATTTGCCAGGGACGGTGGGGCGAGGTTGAACTTCAACTTCCCTCCTGCCAACAGCGGGGCTTTCTGCTTGAAGAGCCGGTTCTTGAGCCGGAGGAGAGGTGCGTTCTGTTCACAAGTCTGCGGGGATTTCTTGATGACAGGTTCCTTGACGATGAACTGAGGAGAGGACTTGTGACACAGGACAGGCACGCGACCCTGGTGTTCCACCTGACACGCACGGAGCTCAGGCTGAGAATGATAACTCTTCATGCGGGAACGCTTTCCTGTCTGAGTCTTCCTAAACCCTTCATAGCCCATGTCTTCTGTGGACTTTGTTTTCCCAGAGATGTAAAGCTTAAATCTTGCTACTTTGCTAGCCTTTCTGTCTTTTGTGCAAATCAGCATGGCAGCTTCATAGACATCGGTGACTTCTGGTAATTCAACAGAAGTTGCCCCCAAATCTTGAAGGTCACATTGTGAAGTCTTGATAAACAGTGAACTTGGCCTCTGAGCGACATCGTCACAGGTAGACCGGCCATCAGATGTTTCGGCAAGGTTGTTAGAAGGCATTGACAGAGTTGACGCAGCCCCTTGTG